CCACAATGCACCGCGCCAGAAGCAGCTCACTTCCGGAGCGGGGGCGTGCTTATTCCGGCCACTTTCCAGGGCACCGCGACAGCCCACGCAGAGCGGATTCTTCCCCGACCCGGTTCATCCTCGGCGGACTACAGAGGCGTACTCATTTGGATTGCTGTCACTTGGAGCGCCCTTCTCAAAGACCCGGAATCCTGATGGGGGTCGGCGGCGCGCGACTCTCCAGTGCGCAAGCGCCCTGGGTATAGGCCTACAGAAACTACAAATCCCGAAATGCCTTGCGCTAAACTTGGCGGCTGTGGCCTGGAGCGCCGCCTAAGGGAAAGGTCGGATTACAGAATTCGAGCGAGGTTGTGCTGCACGCCGGAAGCGGTCCCCGACCCAGAGCGGGCGACTCCGCTGCATTCCTGTGGGGGAGGGGGGACAGAGGGCCTCAGGAGCCTCTTTGTTTGCGCTGGGGACTCTCACCCGACTCAGCTGCTTCTTGCGTTGACTCACTTATTGACCTAAACAGAGTCATCAGTAGGCGCCTACTGTGCCGGGAGACGCAGTGCAGGGAGTTGGGAACCTCGCAGGAGCCAGACCGACCCGGCCTGACTACCTAGAGGGGTGAGGAACCCACTTTTGGATAATAGCTGTGAATGCATGCGAATGGATGTAAATCACAGAAATTAACGCTCCAAAGGAATGAACAAGACAGGGGGAAATGAGAGGCGGAGACCCAGGAAGAAAAAACTACAAAAAGCTTAGGTAGGAAGGAGTAGGTTCTTGCCTTGGGAACCAGCCCATAAGGCCCTGAGGCAGGAGAGAGTCAGGCTCCGTCCTTAAAGAGCCTAGAGGGTAGCCAGGGTAGCAGAAGCAAAGATAACAAACTGGCCCAATTTAAAAGATATATGATTTTATTCTGCAGGCGACTGGGAACTGTTGGAAGGATCTTCAGAGGATGGACAGGGTTTGTATTTTAACAAGACACCTCTCCACTCCCTCGACTTCGATGGGGAAAGTGCCCTAAAGGGCAAAAGAGGCACTCGTCCAGGAGAGTAACCTGTAGGCCTTCTGCACCCTTTTTCCTGTCTTTCATTTTTTTCTCTCCTAATTACAGACCACAGGTATGAATCCGAAGTCTAGCACATATTATTTCTAATTATTTGGTATAAAAACGAAATAGATAGGGCTTTTTAAAAGATTGTGAAAGAGGGGGGAGGTTATAACTCAGTGGTAGAGCGCATGCGTAGCATGCATGAGGCCCTGGTATTCGATCCCCAGTACTTCCATTAAAATCAATAAATAAACCTAATTACCTCCCCCCTAAAAACAAAACAAAAGATTGTGAAAGAAAACAATGTCCCTTCAAGTTAACTGTTACTTTTCTTTCTTTCTTTCTTTCTTTCTTTCTTTCTTTCTTTCTTTCTTTCTTTCTTTCTTTCTTTCTTTCTTTTTCTTTCTTTTCAGTTTGTTGTTCTTTACTGTAAACGGATCCATACTTAAAATATTTTAGAAACATTCGGGACAATGGGGAAAAAACTATTTTTCTGGTCCTAACACCCAGACATTACATTGCATTCCTGTTTTCAGCCAATGTGAGCCTTCATTATATGTGTGGATTTCACAGAACCTTTCCTCCTGGCTTCTATGCAGCTGAGCTCCACAGCTTGAACTCCTTCAAATTCAGAAATTCATTTCTAGTATGTGTAGTTCATGGTGAAAGAACCTCCTCACTCCCTCAACTCACATGAACATTCATTTATACAACTGTAAAAACATGAATACACACATTGTTATATGTTTAAATGTTTATAAAATGTTTGCAGAAGAGATAAAATTCAGCAAAAGATCATTGCATCTGTTATATATTTTCATTGTCCTACAGTTAGTGATACGGTTCTACTCCTAGTCTCAAAATCTACCATACTCAAAAAATATTGGTGAAAGGTCAAATTGACATCATTTCTTTATGTACAGAACATTGACAACTCTGCCTTCTAGTACATAAAATCACTTCTAATCTACTCTTAATCTTCCACACTAAAAAATATCTAGAATACAAATGCATGGCTTTCTCCCCACCCCCACTGCCCTGCCTACCTTCTATCTTGTCACCTCTGGAGAAGGGCAAGAATGTTTGTCACATGTCTCCTTGCTTCCAATCTTGCCTCCCCTACAATCTGTTCTTCACATGGCTGCCAAAGAAAATACGATTATGTGATGCCTCTGCTTAAATCCCTCCAGTGGCCTGTTGCATGTAGGATAATGTCCAAACTCCTTTCCAAAACCTGGGAGACTTCGCATAGTGTGGTCCTTGCCAATCTCTCTGACTCTTCTCCATCACTTCATGAACCCAGTGTATTTTTAAGACAAGTAGTAAATATAAAGTTTAATCAATTATGCAAACACAGTAAAGCAATCTATGCAAATGTATTAGAATACTGTGCAAAAGTAAGCTGATTCTCAAACTATTTTGGAAAGATTTTTGTGTATTTTCCATATTATCCAGTTCAAGGCATTACAAATAATAAATAAATATATACATATTGCACTTAGGTGGTTGATAGTGACTGTGGAAAGGTGCCTGCAAAGGGCTAGCAAATTAAGTCAGATAACACAGAGGTCAACTGTAAATGACAAGGAATATTAATATGACTTTTCACTGCAATTCTCTTATTTTAAGAAGCAAGAATCTTACTTTCTGTTTTTTTCCTTGTTTAAAACTTATTTTTTAAAATACGTTTTATTTTATTTTGAGGGATGACTAGGTTTATTTATTTTTAGTGGAGTTACTGGGGATTGAACCCAGAACCTCATGCATGCTGAACAGGCACTCTACCACTAAGCTATATCCTCCCCTTTTGTTTCTCAACACAAGCACAAATAAGACCATGCCTCTTTCCAGTATCTGATACTTTACACCTGATTTAGGAGCAAGAAAGAGAACTTCACACAATACTCAGAACTCAAGTTCTAATTCGGTTCCCATGAAAATTTGAGAAAGAGAGGGAGGAGGCCATCAGTTGGTGAAAATATGATAATGGAGTCTCCAGCACTAAGAACTTTTGTGAGCCCGAATTCATCTCAAAATTGCGCATGTTTGGAGATCGTAACATCTCTACTGGGTTTCAAACACCCCACTAGCCTCCAAGCCTGCAAATTGATTTCTTGTGATAGATACAGATCCTATAGACACATTGGTTTTCGCAAATGCGTATCTGACGAGGTCATGTATAGACTGCAGTTATTTTTTCGTGGCCTAAATGTGTCTCTCCTCATCTTTGGAGAAGGAGATGGGAGTAAGAGCCATTCTAACAATAGTGAGTGCTGTTTACTGATGGACTGGCTTACTATGTGTCAGATCGTGAGTTAAACATTATCTTATGGAATCATTACATCCCCCTACCCACCCAATTAGGTGGTTATCATCCTCAGTTTACAAATGAGGAAACCGAGGCTTCGACTGGTTGCACATGTTTGCCCAGGCTCAAGATAAGGCTGCTTGCAAAGCCGGTTTGCAATCACTAAGGTTAGCACCGAGCGCAGCCGGCGGCAACTGCAATTCCCGTGGGGCTGTGCGGCAGCCTCGCGAGAGTTGGCTTGATTGAGGCGGCGGGAAGGCGGCTGCCGCGGCTCCCTCAGCGGTTGGGAGGGCGGACAGCTGAGGCGATGGCGGACAGCTACAGCCCGGACAGCGAGCCTACGACGCGCACGCTACTACGGCGCGTGCTGGATACAGCGGATCCGCTCACTCCGCGGCGACCCCGGAGTGCTCGGACTAGGTATGTGAGGGCGCTGCCCCAGCACAAGAGCAACCAGAGGAACTGGGCGGTAGAGTCCAGCGCGGAACCTGTTTGGAGAGGGAAACTGAGTCTCAGAAAGGAGCAGAGCCCGGGGCTCTGAGAACTGGCTCCTTTCCCTTAGCTGGACTCGGGTCAGCTGTTTGTGTCTCCAGCCTTGGGACTCCAGGCGAATCGAGATCACAGAGCTCAATCATGCTGGCGTCTTTGGGGGTCCACTTCTGGAGCGAAAGATGGGTGCTCAGAATCTGTTCTCTACGCCAGTTTTCCAGAGTGGGTCCAGGCATCTGCCCTGAATTGCCTCCCAGGCGGTTCCAAGTTGGAAGATGGGAAAGGAGCTGGAGAGCACAGCCTGGGCGGAAGTCAGGAAGCAGGAACTGAAAAGATGCCTTGCGAGGGAGCAGGAAATTTGGCCTGACTTGGTGGGAGTGGCAGTGGGCGAGGGCTCTGATGAGCTCATGGTACAGAGGTGTGGAATATGGCATCTCCCAGCTTCCTGGGGGAAGTGCAGTTCCTTTATAGACAATGGAAAGGCATTCATTATAGGTTTTAGACCTACGAGTGATGAGGTGGGAGCTGTGCCCTGGAAACATTTATGTGGTTCTGAAGTCGGAGAGGGAATTGGACTAGAAAGACAACGGCTATAGTGACTCATGTGGAAGTTTCTATCAGACCCTGACAAGTACTTAAAAGGTTTAAAAATACTTAAACATATTTGGATTGTTATTTTAGTGTCTAGAATGAATACTCTTCTAATTGTTCCTCTTGTCTGTGCAGTTAACCTCTACTTCTGACAGTCACCTGTGTGAAGCCTTCCTCAGCCCCTTTCTCTTCCCATACTGTTCGGGCTTCCTTTCACCTACAACTCTGTTGACAGAGCTGGAAACAGGGCTATGGGAGGGGCATGTGGTTCCCAAGTCCCTGTCCCTGAGGGTAAAGGATTTCAACTAAGATTCTTGATGAAAACACATCTCTAGTTCCTCCTCCCCACATAATTCTCAGAGTTGCTGGTCTTTACACAGTGCCCAGAGAGCCCTACTTGAAACACCTTCCTCTAAGAAGCTGAGGAGCCAAACAAAGATGACTGCCAGGCGTCGTTCTCATAAAGCCAGGGTAAGTGCCCCACCCACTGACCACTAGAGAGCTCTGGTTGCCTTCAGGGGGCTCTTGAATTCTAGCTCTGCTCTGGACCCCACCTTGAGGGACTCAAGGCAAAGGAACAGACTGATTGCTTGGTGCTGTTACCCAAAGTCTATTGACAGATTGGCCCATATTCAAGCTGGTGGACACCTGGAGGAACAGACACCCCGGACTCTGCTGAAGAACATCTTATTAACTGGTGAGTGAGCACTGGCCTGCAGGTCAGAACCAGGTGCCAATCCTATGGTATCCCTCATTTAGGGCAGCCTGCCCTGCCAGCCGCATCCTCTCCTTGCTATTTATGCAGCCCCGGAATCTTCCATCGTGTTGCCAGAATCAGTGGTGAAGCCAGTGCCAACACCACAGGTGGTCCAGACTTCCAGACGGGAAAGCAGTCGGGGCAGGTGCACAGTGAATTCCCCCCTTGAACTGGGCTGTTGGGGAGCTCTTGTCAGGGAGCCTTTTGGGGGCCCCAAGAGCCAGAATTGGGTGTCCTGGCCTGTCTGAGATAAGCTCCATTCTTGTAGCCTGGAGCTGCAACTTCCTGAAGTTGAACCCTCAACAACTCTGGCTCCAGGTCTGCTGGCTCCTGGCAGAAGGAAGCAGAGGCTGAGGTTGTCAGTGTTTCAGCAAGGAATGGACCAGGGGCTGCCTCTCTCTCAAGGTGAGGTCCTGGACAACACCTGTGGTCACTCTTTCTCCTGTCCTCTTGGAGAGGCTGAGGAGGCCTGAGAGAGGCCTGGGTAACTTATTATGGTTTCTTTTTATATCCTCTTGCAGAGCCTTATGGGAATGCTGATGCCTCTTCCATCACCAGGTGCTGTTGCCGGTTCTAGGGGTTGGTGGAGGAGAGTCTTGGGGAAGAAGGTGCTGACTAGAATGGAATTTGGCCATACTGCTCCATGCTTACTTCATGGCAGCTGTGTTATAAGAGATGAGAACACCAGAACATTTGGGGGAATCCTAGGCTGGGGGAGGAGGGTTGAGCCTCAGGAACCTAACTTTCCTTTGTGCCTTGTCCCTCCCACCAGCTCCCTCAACCTGACCTTTGCCACACCTCTCCAGCCACAGTCAGTAAAGAGACCTGGTTTGGCCCGCAGACCTCCTACCCGCCGAGCTGTAGATGTGGGTACATTTTTGCAGGATATGCAAGATACTTCCCTTGCCTTGGCTCCTCCAGGTAAGGTTGAGATTTCTCTTCTTCTGGCCTGTGGAGAAAGCTCTCCCCCAACAAGAGATAGGAGATGCTGCTGAGTCCAGGGTTGTTCTTCTCTACTTCAGGTCAAAGATAGTGAGCAAGCCTGGCCAGTAGGTCTATGAGGAGTTTCTGCTTTCTTTCCACAAGTTGCCTCTTGTCTTGCTGGGGCCCAGTCTTAGTCTTCCAGTATGTTCCAGGACCTCATATCCTTGAAGAGCTATGGGACTGAGGGTAGGAAAGGGGTGTGGTATGGTGATTGGAGCTTATTAGGAGGTTGAAAGTGGCTGGTCAGTCAGAGCTGACCTGGGAGCCTGATTCCAGAAGACAAGTCAAGTTCACCAGAGTAAGAGAAGGGTTACAGGCCCAGAGAGTGGAGAGTACAGCCATGGGTGAGCAGTTTGGGTGGAGCAAGCTGTAGAGCCTGGGAATGCCAGGCTAAGGAGCAGGAAGGTAAGCAAGGAGAGCTGTGGAAGGGAGATTAGTCTCAGAGCACTAGGTAGTCTTCTTTCTGAAGGTCACTCGGGCAAACTTGTGGGCCCACTACGCAGGCCCTAGTGACTGGGTAGCAGCAGGTGGGCCTGCAAAACACTGAATGCCAACTGGCCCTTGATCTCCAGGTGACAGCCTCAGAACCCCTGTTACCACTCTGCCAACGGACACGGTGTTGGAGGACACGCAGCCCTTCTCCCAGCCCTTGCTTGGCCGTTCCCCCACTGTGCAACACTCCCTGCCTTGCCCCTCTCACTCTGGGGCTAAAGATGTGGAGAGGGCTGTCGGTCACAGGACATGGAGCAGTGGGCCTAGGCTGCAGAACAGTGGTGAGTTTGTGGGGCATGTGGCCTCGATCCAAACCTAGCATGAGCAAGAATTGGTGGTTTTTTCCTCCTCAGGCCCATCTGTGTGCCCCCTCCCCACTGGGTACCTGGCTGTTGATCCCACCTCCATCCAAGAGCAGAGTCAATGTTGGGACCAGGAGACTCCAAACCAGTACCCTGGGGCTGCCTCTGACCTTCTCTCCTTGATGGGCTAGACTAGGTTTTACTACTCCATCTTTACCTTTCTCAGAGCTACAGCCCTGGCCTACTGCTTCTCTAGCCCGTGTTCTCTCCCCTTGATTTAGGTCCTGGGAAGCCAGCCCAGCTTATGGCAGGAAAGGTGGAGGAGGTTGATGCTCTTGCTCTGGGCTTTCCAAACACCAGCAGTAATATCTCTGGAGAAGATGGAGTAGAGCCCTTACAGAATGGAGTTGGTGAGGAGGCAGAGGGAAGGATGAAAGAAGGCTTGAGCATGAGGGAAGTGGAGGAGGCAACAGAAGCACAAGGATCTGCCAGAGCAGAAGAGCCTGAAGAACACACAGAGGTGACAGAAGCAGAGGGGTCCCAGGGGGCCATTGAGGCCAAGGAGCCAGAAGGATCTTCAGGGGATGAAGATACCCCTGGCAGGACAGGTAAGGGGCCCAGTGCAGGGATCAGGGGGTGGGTTGGTAAGTGACAGCTATATCCCTGACCTTGGAGAAGCGGATTACCTGGCTTGTGTTTCTAGGCACAGGTAGTTTTGGGCCAAGGAAACTGAAGGATCCCTTGCTTGGCCAGAGCTAGATGAGGCCCTTGAAGAACAGGACAGGGAGGCTGTGGGCCTTCAAGGTTGGGTGAGATGGTCAGGCCAAGCATCTGAGCCTTCTATATCCCTGCCCTTCCCCTGCAGCAAGTCCAGAGTTGGCCTCCAGCACCCCAGAGTTCCTTCGGGCCAGACGACTTCAGTTTCCTGAGCCAGCTCCACCGCCTAGCACTGCAGTGTAAGATCCTACAACCCTCTTCCACATGGGCCTCTTGGGAAGGGGCTAGGAACTGAGGTTGGCACTGGCACCATAGGGTTATCATTCTTCCTGTAGGTATACAGATGATTACTCAGCAGAGCACCCTGAGGTGGGCTGGGTGGGGCTCACCGAGATCACGTATGTCATCCTGGTGTCTGCTTGCAGGGGCTTAGAGGAGCCTGGGTAGGAGAAAGTGCCTAGGCTAGTGTGTAGTCACAGAATATCTCCAGGAGAAGGAGTAATAAAACCAGACAGGCAGCAATGGGCTGAGGGAGGGAATGTCTATGCCAAAGCCTGAGGATCATGAGCCTGAGCAAGTACTGGTTTGTATGATGAGGCTAGACTAGAGCATTGTGTCCAGTCCGTGGAGGATCAGGGCCCCAGGGAAAGACTAGGCTTCTACATGGCTCCCTGTCCCCACTGTCCCCAAGAAATGGTTATTTCAGCTATTGGTCCAGGCTGGCCAAGAAACACAAGGGCCCCAATCTTGGCAGGAGTCAGCAAGACTTATCTTTGATTAAGGGCATTTTCAGGTAGCAATTCAGCTACCTCTGTTCACTCCTTGCCCCCAGCTTAACTTCTGAGCCTCCGGAGACTCTGTCAGCCAGGCTTCCTCCCAGAACTCGAATCCCTGGCCCCAGGCCCCGTCAAGATCCCTACAAGACCGGACTGAACCACTATGCAAAACTCTTCAGCTTCTATGCTAAAATGCCCATGGAGAAGAAGTCCCTTGAGATGGTGGAGAAGTGGTGAGTCCTGGACACTTGGAGTCGGGGGAGAAGCCCCTCAGATCATGAACAGTCTGTTTAGTCTGTTCTACCCCAACCTTCTTGGCAGCCTCGACAAGTACTTTCAGCATCTTTGTGATGACCTGGAGGTATTTGCTGCTCATGCTGGCCGCAAGACTGTGAGGCCAGAGGACCTGGAGCTGCTGATGCGAAGGTAAGTGGGCGGAAGCAGGGAGGTGCTGGGTGTGGGAGTTCTGGCCCTGATTCTGTCGTTCTCTATTCTCCTCTGCTGCAGGCAGGGTCTGGTCACTGACCAAGTCTCCCTGCACGTGCTTGTGGAGCGGCACCTGCCCCTGGAGTACCGGCAGCTGCTCATCCCTTGTGCATTCAGTGGCAACTCTGTCTTCCCTGCCCAGTAGTGGCCAGGTCTCAACACTTGCCCTCTCCCCACCTGGGGCCCTTTGGCCCCACATACACTTCCAAGTTTCCTCCCTGTCCCCCAGCATCAATAAAGTGTCACAAACAATATGCTGTGTTTTGTGTACATGTCCTGGGACCAGCTAGGCAGGGACCAACCCCCCTCCCCTTGATTCCTCAGCATAACCTAGAGAATAGCATGGATGCAAACAAACAACTTTATACCAACAGTCAGAAGTTGGCAGCACGGGAGCACTGAGGCTGCCCAGAGCAGCCTTAGGTTGCAGGTTCCTGCTCTCGAGGCCCCATACGCCTAACGTCACTCATCTGAAGCTGTTCCAGTGCAGTCTGGAGCTGTATCACAGTGCCCTCTTCCTTTTCCTCACCCTCTTCTGGCAGTTCTGTCACAGGGAACTGGAAAGCCTGGCTCAAATAGCCATTCAGGGTCTGCTTGTCCAGGCTGGGATCAATGGTCATCAGGGCCTCACGTAATTTAGGTAGAGTCACCTTATCATGGCTGCCCACCAGGGAAAGAGAGAGTCGAGCCTTGACCCTCCTCTTTGTACTCCAGACCCCAAGATGCCCTCTCCCAGGCTTGAGCAGTATATAGTGTCCAGCAGCAAGCTCGGTGCATAGGGAGACCCAGGGGCTTGAGGTGCCACCCATGGCCCAGCCTGCGGGACTTGCCTATGGCTAAGTGAGCTTGAAGGCCCCAGGGTCACTCACAGTTCCAGGCCCAGTTCCTGCTTCAGCTCGTATAAGTACTCATCCTTTTCATTCAGGTACTGTTCCCACAGCTTTTGCAGAAAGGGCACGCTCTGGCCCTCCTCATCCTGGGAAGGGGCCACAAGGCAGGGTGAGGGTACATGGGCTAGGGTCCAACAGAGGCTAGGGCAGGGCTGGGCAAGTTCCTGGGCCCTTGACACACCTCCATAAACAATAAACGGTAGTTGACCAAGTCTGCATTGCTGCTGCTGGGATGCCAGCCCCCTGCCTCCATCAGTTCCTGAATTTTCTCATCCTTCTTGAAGGGGAAGGTGCTCCTGAGGACAGTGCTGTAGGGAGACAAGAGGGCCAGTGGGCCTGGCTGAGGCCTGCCTACCCATCTCCCTGCATCCCTCTACCAGCCCCACTAGTGCTCAAAAGGGCAGCATGCATTGAAGCTCTGGCCCTTCCCATCAGGCTCCCCTTCCCCCTGCACAGCTAGGGACCTGGCCAGAGGACATGTTTAGGGTGGCCTGACTGGTCTCTCACCTTAACTGCTCCATGGTTAGTAGCCCCTCATTCTGACTGTCAGCATGTGTCATCTCCTTCAGCAGCTGTGCTATTGTCTCCTTCTGCTTGATGTATACACTTTCTTTCCTCTGTAGGGAGGGAAGCATTGACTGTCTTGCTGTTTCCTAAAGGGGTAGGGACAGGGATAGAGCTGGCCTATGCTGAGCATAAAGGGTGGAGGGCCAGGCCCAAGCTCACCTTTCCCATCAAGACTGCATAGAATTGATTCATGACCTCATTGGAGTGGAAGAGCTTGATATATTCAAAAATGGTGTAAGCCCAGGCCATGGCATCACTAGGCCCAAAGCGACGCTCCAGGAAATTGAAGAAAAAATCTGGGAACTTCTCTTTCTGCACGTTAGGGAAAGACTGCTTGATCAGTCTGCTCCACAGTTGGTTGGCCCTCCTTCCTGCCCCCTAGCACCTTGAGGGGCCCCCTGGAGGACTCAGGGGGCCACATCAGGCCAAAATGGCTGGTGAAATCTGACCTGCTCCTCAGCAATACGTTCCTTCCAGGCATCCTTGAGGATGTTTACCACATCCTTCTTGGTTGGCTTCTTGTTCTCCACAATGCCATCAAACTGAAGGAAAGCAGGGATAGATTCACCATAGCCCTGGAAGGAAGAGTGTCAGCTCATCTCTGGGCCTGCCTGTAGCCCCACCCTCAAGCAGGGCAGAGCCCCAGATAGTTCTGGCATAACCTCAAGTCTCAGCAGTAAGGCCTGGCTATTCTGACTCTGGCCCCAAGCCTCTTGAGCCCAGGGACTCCCCTACCAAACCAGGGAAGAAGTCTTTCTCCCGGAGCAGCCCCTCGCCAATCTCCTCCAGGAGCACGTCAACCAACTGGTCGCTGTTCTTGCCTTCGGCCAGCACATGCCAGCGATCTCGACCCCCAGCCACCACATCTGCAGGTAGGAAGAAGGAGCTGGAGTCCAGACCATGCCCCTGAGCAGTCCCTGGGGCCCCAACAGCCAGCATTACCTTCGCACTTGGACCAGTCAGGCCGTGGTGTGGAGGTGCGCTGGATCTCCTGCAGCTCAGCATAGAACTGGTCCCGCTCTCTCAGTGTGCTCATGTGCAACTGCAGCAGCATCTCGTGCTCCTTACGGACCTCCTCATAGTCATCTTTCAGGCTGTCCAGCTGTGGGCAAGGTGATTAGTCCTCACTACCCACCTGTATGACCCTGCCCTACCCTGCTTGCCCACCAGCACCTGCTCCTGCAGATCCTTGTTGGTCTTCTCCTGCATTTCAAAGTCCCTCCTGGGCACCACATCTCCAAAGTTGGCCTTCATGGTGTTGAGCTCCATCTGCATGCGGGTCAGGTCTTGCCGGGCCATCTTCAGAGCCACTGTTAACTTCACAGGGTCCTCCCCCCAGATGCCTGCCAGGGGGCCCGCCAGCTCGTGTAACCCTGGCTCTGGAGCCTGTAGCCCAGGGCAGGGTTGACTGTCCCTCAGGACATGTCCCAGGCCTTCCTGCTCTCCCAGGTTGGGAACCCCTGTGCCTTTCCATGGTGCTACCAGCATAGGGGTTAGGACTCAAATAGAGAAGCCCAGGATGTGGGGTACCAGGACTGTCCTGCTCTTAGGGAGTCTAGGCTACCTCAGCTGCCAGCAATTGCCTCTTAAACAAGTTTGTGACTCTCAGGCCAGCTCAGAAGATCCACAGACCCAGGGGGCAGCAGGGCCATCTCCCATGGTGAATAGGCATGCAATGAGCAGATATTAGGAGAGCTGAGTGAATGGGATTGAGTGGACTCCTCTCCAGTGCTCCCTCAGGGGAGAGAAACCCACCACAGGCTTACCTGGGTACTGAGCTAGTGACATATCTTCCCGCTGGTACCGTAGCTCATTCAGGTCTGCGATGAGGATCTTGCGGGCATCTCGCTCGCTGAGATAGTGCAGGTACTCCTCAGCCAAGTTCTTCCTCAGTTTGGTCACCTGTTGAGAAGGTGGCTGTGTGGTCAGGGGCTGTCTCTGGACCCCTGTGTGCAGCTAGTCATTGCAGGGGATGGAGGGGTCCTGGGTGGCCCAGGGCCTGGGAACATGAAAGGTAAACAAAGGAGGAGACTGGTCATTCCAGAGTCCCGCAAAGTGCCAAAGCTCTCTCCTGTGGGGAAAGCCTGGCAGCCAAGGAGCAGGACTCTGCTCGCATTTGGGGCCACACCGAGCCAGTGCTGAGCCATAGATGAGAGCAGCACGTGGAGAGGGGGCTCAGTATGTCATTCCAGGCAGAAGGGTGGAGAGAGCTAGGGGGTCAACTCAGTGCCAGAGGCCTCGGGGTCACCCCTGGGGTGGGGGTGGCAGGCATCCAGGGAGTTGGTTACCACATTACTCTCATTCACCTCACTCTGCAATGAGATCTTCTCCTCATTCTTTTTGTCAATGAGTTTTAGCAAATTCATCTTCTCTTTCTTCAACATGGAGATTTCGTATCTCTCCTCAGCCCTCATGGCCAGGATCCTCTCATTGCAGTCCTCATTCACAGTGACAAGCTTGGCCTTCAGGGGCTCCAGAGCCCGAATCTTCTCCCTCTGGTGGGCTAAGCAGGGACAGGTGGGACAGTCCCTTTAGGACCATGGAGGATAAATTGTCAGGAGACTCTAATCCTGAGGTCACAGTGAGTGGCTATGTCCCTTGCAAACTCCAGGAGTCTATGCATAGCTGTTCAAAGCACAGTCCCTGCTTAAGGCCTTTCTGCACTTGCTTTTATTTTTATTTTATTTTATTTATTTAAATTTTTTTGAGTTATAGTCATTTTACAATGTTGTATCAAATTGCAGTGTAGAGCACAATTTTTCAGTTATACATGAACATACATATATTCATTGTCACATTTTTTTTCACTGTGAGCTCTGCACTTGCTTTTAAACCTGGGACAGAGTCCAGATGAGGACTGAGGTCTCACCTATACCCTTTCCCCATATGGCCTTCAGTTCTGCAGCTGCATCATGTGCAGCACCTGGTAAGCCTGATGAGGGAAGCCTCCTCATCACTTCACAGAGGTACTCACTCCCTTCTAGGTTAACTCTTAATAGAAAAGGTGCTGTATTTCCTACTGATATTGCCCCATCATGCTTCTCAAGAATGGGAGGTGGTAAGTTGTCCTGGGGTGCCTTACGACAGGACAGTGTAAACAAAAAGGCTGAGTGGGGCTTGGTGACCTCAAAGCCCCGTTTGTAGCTGCCCCAGCCCTGCTGCAGACCCCCAGAAAGGCAGAGTAGGATCCTCTGCCTCTTCCAGGCTGGGCCCAGGCAGGGAGGCTGCAGTCTTACCCAGCATCACCTCATATGCATTTTTGATGGAGGAGAGCAATGGCTTGTATGTTTTGAAGTCCTCTATGAAGAATTCAAAGATCTCTCTGTAAGGCTGGCAAGAAAAGGGAAACTGTCACCTCCTGGCCTATAGCTACCACTCTCAGTAGGAACTAAGTTCTCCTTTGCTTGGCTTAGAAATGTTCTAACATGAAGCTGCCAGGTGACTCACATTCAAATAAATGCTCCAGGCACATCTGGGTCTGTCACAGCCACAGAGTTGAGGGGCAGTTCTGTCTCACCTGCTCTCTGGAGACCTCTCCTGGTGCTGTGTCTGAGGCCTGGCAGATGACTTCAGTCAGTCTGCCTGAGCCCCCTATCTGGCTCTCCAGGCAGCCAGCTTCCTCCATGCACTGTGCTTCAGTTGGCCTCTTAACCAGCACCCCTCCCCATCTTACAGCCCTGTGGGGACAGAGAAAATTGAAGGCTCTCGCCTTGCATTACAGCCTCCAAGTAGAGGTGTGGTTTCCTGTCCCACTTGGACACACAGGAAGCGTTTGGAAGCAACATTGTGTACTGGAATGAGCACAGGCTCCTGAATCAGCCCCGAGGTTGAATCCTAGCTCCCCTACTACATAGTTGGATGCCTTCTCTGAGTTTCTGCTTCCTGGTTGGTGAGGTTCCTTCAGCCCGTGAGACCCATCCAGGTCCTGGAACATAGACAATGCTCAGCAAATGCTTCTGTCAGTGACTAAGTCCGAAGTCAAAGATTCCCCGTTGCCATCTCTGAGCAGAGATTGGATGAGTCCCTCCCTAATATGCACCAGAATCTAGGTTACGCCTAGATTTCTCTCTATGTGTCTGGCTAAGTTCCTCAAGCTTGGGGCTATTGTTACTGGGCTGGTGGACATTGTATGACCCCTGCTTGCCCAACTGCCAGGATTCAGGCTCCATTCACTAATGTCCAATGACCCAAGGTGGGTGCTGTGGATCACAGAGCTGAAGGCACTGGAGACAGTATCCAGGCCACCTGACTCAGGTGAGAAAGTCTAAGCTTCAGGAGAGTTTTGTTTCCATATAGGTAGCCTTGCCTGTTCTCTGGCTTTGTCATAGAATATGTTTCTCTTACCAGGAGGGGAGCCCAAAAGAGCTGGGAGAGGCTGGTCTCTCCTGAAGGTCTGAAGTGCCCTGTCTTGGTGAGTAAGGTTTCCTCCCAGCCTTCCCCCCGCCCTCCCCACAGTTATTCTGTGGCTCTGACCTGCAGCCTCAGCTCTTGGGCAGAATCCGTGCCCAGGTCCAGCAGGAGGAGCTCCTTGTGTAGGTAGTTCTCTAGTTGCTCCAGGTACCTTGGCTTGGTAGTGCCCAGGGGCTGCTGCTGCCAGCTACTGCAGGGGTTGTGGGCTGAGATGTGATGGGCATCCTGCCAGGCCCTTGCACCCTGGGTCAGGGGTAGCACACACCCCTATGCTGTCTCTGGGCCCAATCCGTCCACCCCTGGGCTAAACCTAGCTTACCCCGCTCGCTTTCGGTAGTCATCTGAACAGGGCTTTCGATTATGCAGAATGGTCTGGTCACTGATATATGTGGGCCATGGGGACAGGTGGCTGCCAGTGGAAAACGAACCGGACTACAGGAAAGGACAGGTGGGGTTACCATGGCAACGCTGCTCTACTTCCTGATGCTCCTCTCCAGGCTTCTCCTTCCACTCCTTTTTCTACCCCCTCAACTTCTCAATATGGTTCATAACTAAGACTGTGGTCTCTAGAGTTAGAGAGGGATTAGATTAAATCCCAGATCTCCCTTATTAGCTGTGTGACCACAAGGTTAACTTCTCTGAGTCTCAGAAATGGGTATCTCTAAAATGGGGATGGTTGTAGTCCCCATTGCAGTGTATTGATGTGAGGATGCAATGAGAAAGCATAAAGGGTAGTTTACATAGACTTGGGCACCTTTTAAGAGCTCAGTAAAGATGATCTCTTTTTCCCCTTCTGTAGGTGTGGGTGAGTATTGAATATCTGTGCTATGAAAACTGACATAAGTACCGATTGGGACCATCTCTTGCCCTCAGAACACAGTCCAGCTAGAGAGACAGAGATGGAGGAGGGCAGGCCCAGCCTCAAGCCGGACTGACACAGACTGGACTGCCGAGGTGCAGCAGGGTGAGCTGTGGACCCTGGGAGGAGACTGGGCTCTACCTCCTGGGGGAGGGGGAGGGGGTAGAAGCAGTGGGATCTCATTTTGAACCTTGAGCAGGGGTAGCGGGTAGAAGCAGTAGTATGTATGAGCTTGTTTTTTAACCTTGGCATTAAATATTCAAGATGTAAGAGAAAAAAATGACTGCTTACCCAGTGAAGCCTATTTCTAGAGTTCATCTATTCAGTCATTAATTTGTTCATCAAATGTTTCTGGATCCACGGTACAAGCCAGCCCCTACTGGATTCTGGGACATGAGAGAAGCTGGGTATGTTGGAAGTGGGATGACAAGTGAATTGATAATCACAAGTCAGCAGGTGGTAACTGAAGCCAATGGAGGTCACAAGGGTTGGGGGCCCTGAATGGAGGGGGCCAGAGGAGACTGCTCATCTTAGGGGAGGAAGTGATGATGTCAGTGATTTCAATAAAGCTTGAAATACTGCATGGGAGAGGCTGAGGTCACTCTGGGAGAGGATTATGTGTCAGGGAAAGTGAGGGATGCACAAAGACTGCCTGGGTAGCATCCACACCTCAGGGAAACAGCAGGAGTTCTGAAGAGCCATGAACAGGGGCTCATGCCCAAGGAGAGCAGACTGGATGAGGCACAGTCTGGGCTGTCTGGGCTGGCCAGTGCAGAGGGGACAGAGATGGAATGGCAGCTTTATGCATAAGGGTGGTCCTCAAAGCCTTACTTATGGCTGTGAAAAAATTAGAAAATTCCTAAGTGTCTAAGAAAATTGTTATACAGCTGTGAAATGTTTACAAAGAGGCTTAACATGGAAATATACTAATGCTATAGCTGTAAGGGTTAAGTAAAGCCTGAAATTAGGGAATAAGCACAACCAGGTAAAATGAAAAGATGGAGGAAATAATCCAAAAGGTTAATCCAATGATTATTATTCTCTATAAGATTCTCAAAGAATAAACAATGATTATTCTCTAATAATAAGGCCATGGATGCTTATTTTTCTCTAATTGTGCATTTTTCAAAATTTCCTACAAGGCACATATTACTTTGAAATTTAAAAGAATATTGATTTAGGAGGGAGGGTAGAGCTCAGTGGTAGAGTGTGTGCCTAGCATGCATTAGGTCCTGGGTTCAATCCCCAGTACTTCCATTAAATAAATAAAAATAAAAAACACAAGGAAAAACTAACTTGCATTTGCTGATATAATGCAATGAACATAAGAACTAATAATACAAATATACCTCTAAAACACTTAACCATTTATAGGTATTTAAAACTAAAGTTGTATTTTTCCTGACCCATTACTTATGGTAAAAATACACCGTGCTGATAGAAATGTTAATGTTACATGTTCAAAATGTTTGGGAGATGATCAGAAAAACACTCACAAGGTATTTAATTATTTAAAATCCTTTCACTCTTAGGAAAGAAAGCCTTAAGTCTCTGTTGCTTGAAAAGGAAAAAACTATCAATAATAAAAATTTTTAAAATAGGAAATAAAAGTAGAAATAGATAAACAGAACAAAATGAGAGAAGCCAAACTTAGAAATCAAGCCAGAAAAAGTTTTTTTGAAAGACTATCAAAAATGTATGTGATTTTTATAATAGGGCAAAGTAACCCTGGAAGACAGCTGAGAAGTTGTCAAGCATTTAACCCTGGTGAATTAATGATAGGTTTTTCACATTTCAAAAGGCCAGTCCTCGTGTTCTGTTTGTCATTTCTGCCAAGAGAAATCGTGGTCACCGTACTTTGATTCCCAGGGATATGCTGCTTTCTTGGCCTGGTTATTAATGGCTGTTAAGACCTCCACAAGCCAGTGGCTGGAAGGAGCTGTTCCTGGGAGCTCCAGGCTCTCTGCTTTCCCCTGCAGGTGAAAACTGGAAGGGCGGCCCTGGGGGTGGGGGAGGCTGGGGACGGTGGGGGGGAAACATCGCCCTCTGGTGGTTGAGAACGGTGTCGCTGCTGCCGGGCTCAAGAAAGGGAGTGACAACCCAGCTCCAAGTCCACTAGATAGATGGCAGCTGAGGAGGGTGGGGTGTGGGCGCCTCAAGTAATCGGGTCTTGTGGGACCGTGGCTGCGCTTGGTCTCCACAGAGAGTCCACACTAACCCTGCCTGAAGTTAGGGTCCCCATTTTGGAAGTCGTCAGTCTTACAAAGTGTGTAGCCCATGTATCCCCAAATCCTCCACACAAGGCACACTCACATAAGGAAAACCACCACAGCCCACAGTTCTCCACTGTGAGCCTGAGTTATAAGTTTGCTCAAATGTGGTTTTTCATCTGTAAGATTTGAACAGTGGCTGCTTGCTGATTAAATAATAATAATCATGATCATATCAACAAAATCCCCTCAATACTTAATAAGACAGTGTGATTTTTTATATAAAAACTTTAAAGAACAGGAATGGAGGGACAACCTGTCCTAAGGCTGGTAAAGAGTCTCTACTTCTAATGCAGGGCCAACAACACAATGGAGGAACATCCTTTACTGCTGTGCTCACACACCTACTCACAGCATTTATGGTGAACATATGCCAGCCACTCAAGTACCACATCAGGCACTATGGCTGTAAAGACAAAAAGATACAGTCATATAGCTCTGAAGGACCATGGAAGATCTGGTGGAACCATCCTAGCACCTAGCACAGTGCCTGGCACATGGCAGGCTGGATGAAGAAATGTCCACTCCAGAATGCTGCGTTGCAGGGGTAGGTTATTAGTGGGCAGGGGCTGAGTCCCTTACTGCTAGGGGAGGTCTGGGAAGGCTTCTTAGGTGAGATGTGGCAAGTGTGCACACTCTCACCCCAGCACCTGTAGCCTCTGAGCTACACTCCGCTGACTGGGGAGAAGCCACTTGGTGGGGCATGTTTCAGGTGGATGATGCTTTTGGGGCTGCAGATAGTGAGGCAGAAAGGATCTGTGGACCAAATCTGAGGGTTCCAACAAAACATTGCCACTAACCAGTGTCTTCCGTTTTTGAGAAAGCTTGCGTTTCTGAGTACTCTTGGTTTCTGTGAGGAGAGAATCATCTATGGTCACTCCTAAAGGCCGCAGGTGTGTTCTGCACAGGAAAGAGGAAGGAAGTGGTGGGTGACAGAGTCCTGAGTGGGGAGAGCACTTCCACCCTTCCCAGATCCACAAGACATGGCCTCCTTTCCCCTCAGAGCCAGGCTTTGTGTCTTCCCAGTGCTGCCTCCATATTCCCAGAGATGCTGCCAACAAGCTCCTGGCTCTGAGCTCAAACCATTTTTCTTCATTCCCAGAAACCTTCTCCCCATCACCAGAGTCTCACCAACTCTTGTAGTGGTGGGACACCCTCACCACGCACCCAGAGAACCCTGTGGGTCTACACTTCCATTCAGTGTTCAGCTGTGGCTGTGATGTCAGTTTCATGTATGTGACTGGCACATTCTGGGGTTGTGATACCAGTCAGGTGTGAAGGCAGGCGCTGTAGGACAAGAAGCACAGGGTCTGGGGTCCAAGAGCTAGGGTGAGAGTCTCGACCCTCTACTCACTGGCTGATAGGGCCCAGAGGCTGACACCTGTGGTTCCAATAGGAACCCTCTTGGGCAAATCATTTGACTTCTCTCAGTCTAGTTTCCTCATAAGGAAATGGAGTCAATTCTTGCTTTTTCTATCTCACAAAGCTATTGTGAAGTTTAAATAAGAGTAAAAGAGACAAGTAAAAACAGCCTGTAAACTGCAAGGAGCTGCAGAGTTGTTAATTATGACAGCAGGATGAGAGAAAAGTGGATCATAAGGAGGTCTTTAACTCCTTGGCTTCTTGGGAGAGCCATCCTTGCTCAAGCTAGGAGGGCATTTGGGGGTCAAAAGGGCGGGCTGCATGTGGGCAGGCAGACCCCAGTGGAACAAAAGGAAGAAATAATCCCAGCAATCCTTGGCAGGGGTGGGTAGGGGTGATTTATGCTGTCAGGCAGACTTGTGTCTTCATTCCTTTTGCTAGCTGGTGACCTTGGGCATGTTGTTTAACCTCCTGAGCCTCAAATGTCTTTGTCCATAAAAGTGAGACTAGGACTACCCAAACTCCAGGGAAGGTGAGAGCAGGAACATGAACCCAGTTGGGAAACCCTGTCCTGCAGGATTCCTCAGTCCTACTTCATGGAGCAGTGATACCCCAAACTCCAGTCCTCGGTTGTCTCTGAATCGAACAAATGTGAGCAAACCATGTCACATAAGTAGCTGGTGTGGAAAACCAGACATTTTTTGCCCAGACGTTCATCATGGGTTTGAGACAGGATGCAACAGATCAATCTATCTGCTCACTGGGTTAAATTATACCTTCCTGTCAAGACCAGTCAATTTTCCAAACTATTCTTTTTGCTCCTGCTGGGACTACTACATGAGGCAAGGTAAACAAGAAAACTATGGAGAAATCTACAAATCCTGAGAAATTGTTAAGTGGAAAATCTCAGTAGGTAACATGTTAGTTTTAAGTGTCAAAGGAGAGTCCTAAATAATAATTTTAAGAATAACTGGTAGTGTCTATATACTTATCTAAAAAGCGTAGGAGGCTTCTTTAGTATTATATTAATTATATTACACCAATTCTCAGAGAGGAATGGAAAGCAGGTATCTATATTTCTACTTCAAAGGTGGAGAAAAGTCAGTTATTTAACTGATGGCAGGCAGTGGGTTTGACGGGTATGTCCTGGTACTGAGTGAAGTCAAGATGCTGAGTTCCATCCACAGACCTACTGTGCCAGGAATGTGAGGTTGAAAGGAGAAAGCCAGTGGGGAGGAGAAACCTGCCCCAGGAAAATGCACAATTCAAAGTTCCCTTTTGGAGGGTCCTTCTGACATATGTATCGTGCTGAAATATCCTTCATCATCCTGGTCCTGCTCTAAGAGGAGCTGGAGGAGGACATGCATACTATGCCTCTAAGGGAAGCAGTGAGCTTGGCCCAGTGTACTATACATCACTAAATAATGGTGAATGAAGAATATGGGCAGGAATGATGTTTTGTACTGCCACCAAATTCAGCTTCAGCAATTACATTATGCTTTTTACTTACATTATGCTTCTTTCTTAATTTTTTTAAACTTCTTACTCTTTTTTAAAATTAATTTTGGGGGGAGGTAATTAGGTTTATTTATTTTTAGAGGAGTTACTGGGGATTGAACCCAGGACCTTGTACATGCTAAGCATGTGCTCTAGCACATGAGCTACATCCTCCCCTCCTGTGCTTCCTTCTTAAAATACATGAGGATTCTCTTTCTGAGTCTTTTTCACATCCCTTTCAAACATGACTGTAATTTCCTAAATCATTCCTGTGTTGGGTAACAACACTCTTTCTCAAGACTGCTGTCTGAGTTTTGTAGATTAATTTTAGCTCTGGATAAAATAATCAAGCTGGCATTTAATTTGCTGATTTTTGTGGGCATTCTCAGTCAAGGCAGCAGATCCTGGGGAATTAGAGTTTAGGTGAATATCAAGGGTTATTTTGTTCTTTTGGGGGGGTAGTTGGGTTTATTTATTTTTATTTATTAATGGAGGTACTGGGGATTGAACCCAGGAACAACTTGAAACACTTACTGAACACCTGTTACATGCAAGAACTGTCATGAGAGCTTCATATATGTCGCCTGAATATTCCCAACAATGTGAGGTGAGGTTTGTGTTTGAGATATGGAAACAGAGGCCCAGAACTTAAAGGGCCTTCTCTGAACTCCCAGAGCTGGAAAGTATTTAGCCAAAATTTTTGTTTTAATATGTATACTTTGTGGCTTTCCTGGCTAATAGAGCCTGTAATCATATTTGCTTCACCCCTGAATACAGGCAGGACCTACTTTGAGCCGTGGGGTGTGCCTGGGCTGCTTGGAGATGCTTCTTTGTCAAAAACAAAGTGGGTGAAGAGGCCGTGTATGCTTGTGGCTAAGAGCTTAGGTTAAGGAGTCTCACATGGCTGGGTTCAAATCCCAGTTCCAACACGTATAAACATGTGTAAAATACGATGGCTCCAGGCTTCTATTTCTTCATTTGTAAAATGGTGATATTACTACCTCATAGAGTTGTTGTGAGGGTTAAATGTGTTATATAAAGCAATTGGCACATAATTACACGCTCAATACAAACAGGCTGGCTGTTAATAATGAAAAAGTGCGCCTGCCCTTGCACTAGAATGTAACGTCCTCCCTGGGTGGAGAAGTCATCTGGGATTCTGTTTCGGCACCAATGACCCCGCAGGGCTGGAGCCCCTGACGAATGGACAGAGGCAGGAGGTGCAGAACTGCGAATCAGGTACCATTTCTCTTTCTGGAAGTACCAAGCCCTCCTCTCCGCCTTCAGTCCGGCCAGCGCCTACCTCGATGTGGTCGTGAAGCTGAGCTGCTGTGGCTTCAGGGAGGCCATGATCCTACAGCAGCAGGGCAGCCAGTACCCGCTACCTAGGGAGCTATGGTAGTGTACAGTCCGTCGTCATGGCGACCAAGTCCCAGCAGCCAAGCGGGCGGGGGCGGGGTCAGGGTTATGTCACGCCCCCCTCGTCTCTCGTCGGCAGGCTGGAAGACCGAGTAGCAAGGGTGGACTCCGACCCGGACCCAGGGTCTTCTCAGAGTCAGTCACTACAGCAGCTATGACCCTAGCGACCAGAACTGAGACAGGGGGATAAACCAAGGCCATGGGGGAGGGAGGCGAACTGAGAGGTCGCAGCCGCGTTGCCAGCGGGAACTGTAGTTTTCGGTGGTCCAATGTCTCGGCCGAGCAAGCTTACGGCTGAGCAGGTTTGTACTACATCTACCGAAGTTCCTTACCAGCCCGAGCTGATCCGCCCTTGGAGAGCTCTGCATTGTGGGATATGGAGTCCGAGGTGTGGCGGTGCCCGAAGAGAGGTGCCGGACTCGGACTCGGTTTCCCTGCAGCCTCGGTTGGCTCGCTGGCCATTGGCTGAACGGGGCGGAGCTGGTCCCGCTCTTCCCCGCCCCCAGTGACACAATAGCAGCTCCCTCCAAGATGGCGGCGACGACGGCGGACTCGGGAGCTGGGATTCCGCAGGTTGGAGACTCCTCCGGCGGGGGTGCTGGGAGCGGGCAGCCGTCCCCGGGGGAGCAGGAACTGAGCCGGCGCCTGCAGCGCCTGTATCCCGCGGTCAACCAGCGCGAGACGCCGCTACCGCGTTCCTGGAGCCCCAAGGACAAGTACAACTATATCGGCCTCTCCCAGGGCAACCTCCGCGTCCACTACAAAGGTATCGGCCTGTTTAGGGGCCGGGTAGAAGGGCCAGAGCGTCTGCAGTGCGGCTGTGTTGCCCAGCCCCTGCTGGATCACGTTCCTTCACCAGCCCGAGTGCTCTGGGTTAGGCCTTAGCCCCTGCGGGGTGTCTAGGGTGATGGAGCTGACCAGGCCGACTAGGATTGACCTACTAGTCTGCTGTGCCCTGAGACACCTGATGTCAAGAGAACCGCAACAGGTGTCCAAACCCAGTGGTGGGCTGGACCTTTCACCCAGGGCCTTCTTGCGTGTCCTGGAATAGCTCTAATTCCAGATAGGCCCTTCACCACTGCTTAGTTTCAGGAATGTCTGAAGAAAGGGATGGTCACATTCCCTCCATTAGCCAGAAACCCTTGAGCTTGCTCACCTGCCAGACATCCCAGACAGGACCTAGGATTCTGTGCTGCAGTTGTGGGGGCGCCTTCCAAGGCTGCCTCTTCCTCCCCTGGTCTCCCAAGTAGGTTTCCTGTATTCTGGAGATTCTGCTAGCAGCACTAGGAAATCTCTCATATATGCACCCACAGAGCATGTATCCTCCTGTGGTTTGTATGGGAGACAGTGTCTCAGGCAGGGCTGCTGTTCCCAGGAGGAGGTGAGCCAAAGGTGAGAGGTGTATGTATTTGCTCAGTTGTTGTCTGATTACTCCTTGGACTATGTAAGGGCTAACTCTGGCCATGGAGGGCTGAAGTTGATGTGGAGCAGAGAGGAATGAGGCTTCCATTTGCATTTCCTTCTGCTGAAATTTCTTCCTTGCCCTCTCCTATTAGGCCATGGCAAAAACCACAAAGATGCAGCCTCAGTGCGCGCCACCCACCCCATACCTGCTGCCTGTGGCATTTACTACTTTGAGGTGAAGATTGTCAGCAAAGGAAGAGATGGGTAAGCTCCTCCTGACCACCTTCTTTCCTCCAACACTGAGCTATTCCCTGTAGTCGGAATTTGAGGTCTCCTGGTTGATACTTGTGACTGTTGTGAGCTGATGAGCTACATGGGTCTGGGTTGCAAAGGGTTGAATTAGTGAGTGCCTCTGTTACCTGGCTATGGTCAAGGCCTAGTCTAAGCAGCAGCCTTTCATGGCAAGTAGGTACATTGTGGTGGGATCAGGGGCTGAGTGGAGGGTAATTCTCTTTTTTGGGAGGGGAGTACTTCTCTTTAGTGATAATGTAGTGAAATTCCTGGCTTCAAGGTCAGGGAAACAAGTAACAAGTTTACATTAACAATTCAGTGCCTAGAATGGAGTCCCACCACTGTTGTGTGGAGTTTGTGGCTTCCCTCTTCTTTCACACTCTTGCTGCATTCAAGGTTCTTTTTTATGGCATTTAGTCATATAGAGGCCCCTGAAGGCTTCAAAGGGATAGTAAAGTCTTTGCATCATTCATCAAAGCTGTAGCAGCCACTGGCCTGTCATCTTGGAGTAAACAGCATGCACATGGTTAGAATCAGGTGACCTTGCTACTCATAAACTTGTTTTTCAGTCCAGGGACTTGAACACCAGTTGGACCAGCTTTAGAAAGGTCCTCATTAAAGTCAGCATTAGGGAGGCTCCCTATTTTAGGGTGATCTAAGCAGACACAGGAAATCAGAGGGGGAGATTTTTCATTTTTCTTCCTGTTCTTCTCCCAGTCTCCTTCTTTTTTCTGGTGATTGTCACAAAGCAGGTGTTTAAGCTATGAAATAATATATGATTTCAACTGCCTTGGAAAGGCTTTCCTCATCAGACCTTAAATCTGCTTTGGGAAGTTTTCCAATCCCGCCAGTGACTTTCGTGCCAACCCTGAATATGTGTTCTTGAGCATTCAGGATACTTCCTCTCTCCTAGGGACTGTCCCCCTTGTGGTACATGCAAAATGCCTGGACAAGGGGCTAGACTGGGGGCAGGACTGATGGGGTCAGAGCTTTGCCTGCTTCCTCAGTGAAGTTGTATCATCTCTACCTGGGAGGGCTGTGTGGTTGTGGGTAGATCATGGGGCTTTGAGCTCCTTGTCTGTACTGTGGGGACCTAGGCCAGCATCTAAGCTGTCTTTAACCCCAGAATTCTATGATTCTGAAATTTTGATCATGGCAAGCTATTGGCATCTTTCACTTTTATTCCCATCTAGTGCATTTACAGATAGGAAGCTTATGTTATTGGAGGGTTTTAAAGCTTTGATTTTCCCTTTTCACTGTCTGATAAAAGCACATATATTTAATGTGCTTGAAGAAGTATGAAAGAGAATGGCCTCTTAAAACAAAACACACTGCCAAAATAGTTACAGTATAGTTCAGTATAGACTGAAATGTTGGTGCTGTAGTCTCATATTGTCAGAGACTGAGGGGCATTTCTTAAACTTGTAGGGAGGAAATAGATTATTTTCTCTATAGTCCTTAACCACAGATCACAGCTGAGCTAGTGAAAGAGGAGAATAGTTTTTCAGAAGGGGAGTGTTCAAATGTAGAAACCCGGGTTCCTTCACCTGGCTTTTCACATTTCAGTTGTAAGTGGATCTTGCTGGAAAAAGCCCTGTGTCTTGTTAGATTGGCTTACTATAGGGGCTGCCTGCAAATCTAAAGAAAGTTGGGCACCGTCTCCCAGCTTTCCCAGTATTTTTACATGTGGTAAATATAGCCGTAAAGCTGACCTGGAAATCTCAGTTTTAGAAAGATCTTAGGTCATGTATGTATGCCTGTGGTGGTCTGCTTCAGTTGACCACTATCAGAGGGAAAGTGTATGAATGTCCCCTTATGGCCTTTTTATGGAATCCCTGAAAGCTTTCTTGTGGCTAGGATATAGCCAAATGTTGCTTTGGGCCAGGTATGGTTTTGAGGAGGCCAAGGATAGTTCCAGGGCAGACAACCATCGGCTTATTTCCTGTTTCTGGTCAGTGTTGGAGGCGTGTTTCTGACCTGGGTTTGGTCCATGACCCAGGTGTTAACCGGTTGTGTAGCTTTCCTGTATTATATGGTTCAATCCTCATGGCATCTCTGTAAAGTCACTGATGCAGATGATGATGTTCCCATTTTGTGGGTGAACTCTGAGTCCCTGGGATGTGTAGTGACCTGCCCTGGTTGTGGGGCTTAGGGTGTGCAGTGGAGTAGCTAACTCATCACATACCTTCGCCTGATCCCAGACACTTGTGTCCATGCTGCTGCTGCCTTTCTCCATCGCATTCCTCTCCTGGGTAAAGTGAAGGAATGTCCAGTTGGATTCTTAGGGGATCATAGTGTTCTTAGGGGACAGAACTGAAAGATGCTTCGTGCTGAGTGGGGCCAGAGAAGTGTGGCATGCTCTGGACTGGGCTTGATTGACTTACAATCCCACTGAATCTGTAAACTTGTTTTTCCTGTAGATTTGAATATAGGCCTCCTTTGTAAAAGGTGTTTATGGACCCAGTGGTCAGTGTCATTGTTTTCCAGAAATGCCTTTGTTCTGATGATGTCTTTTGTTGAAGAACACACTAAGCTTGTCCAATTAGAAAGATTTCATTTCAAGGGTTGTATTTATTCATACCTACTATGTGCCAGGCCCACGCTGGGTGCAGGGAGAACAGAGGTAAAGCCTACAGGGGCCAGTCTTGTCCTCAGAGAGCCTATGGCATACTTAGTAGAGAGTGGACTGAAAGGCTGTCTGCAAGAGGAGGCAGAGCCTGGGCACAGTTTTGAAGGATGAGTAGGAGTTTCCCGGCAAGTGAGACCTGTTGGACCTAAAATGAGTCTGGTCAGTAACTGGCTTGATGTCTGGGTGCTGGGCTTTCTGGGCACTCCTCAGATATAAGGGAGAGCTAAAGAAGGAAAGGCTGTGTTTGAGATAAGAGCCTGGCACAGACTGATGGATTTCAGCTGCATTTTGCCAAGTCACCAGAGCTGGGAGCCCCAGGCACAGATCTGGTGGGGTGAGGAGACATCAAAGCCCTGCCAGTGGTGCCAGAAGATAAGGGAACCCGGGTTGATGTTGTTAGGAAGCCAAGGAAGCCCTGAAACTGAGGGTTGCTGGGGAAATGACTTGTCCAGGCAGAGTTCATGGACCTGTGGGTTCCTCCAGCTCTTAGTGATGACACATGGAGGGTGTGGCTGGCCAGGCTGACAGATGCTCCAGTGTGACCCTCAAAATAGACTGTAACATCATCTCAGCGGTGGCGGCGGCCTCCTGACATGTGACCAGTGGCTCTACCCAAGAACAGCAAGCCTGGGCTAGAGCACTGGATGGAGTTGGAGGAGCTCTCGTCTGTAGCTGGTGCCCAAAGCCAGGCCCTGAGCAAGGGCCTCTGGCCACAGCCAGCCTGCCTTTGCTTGCACTTGCAGCTGACTTCTTTGGCCAGGCAGCAGGTACTCATCTATTAATTCTCCACATCACCATGAGGCACCCATTGTTTTGTTTCATTCCCAGTCCTGGGCTCCAGGAGCACAGGCCTGAGGCCTATCTAGAGAGGAAGCAGATAAGCCTGTGTGCATGACTTCACAGGGTGGTGTAGAAAAGGCCAA